ACTTTACGCGTTTCCACGTTAACGCGGTACCCTGCCAAACACGGAATGCTCACTTTCCGCGGTGTGTGTACCCTTTTACGCGGAGAGCGGCGCGAGCAGGGTGCGCACAAGGTCGCCCAGTCATCAAAACATTACCGAGTTCTTCACCCGCCACCCACCACAGCCGGCCCAAGTCAGTGATAGTGAGGATATGGACTATGGACTTTGAGGGGTTTGACAAAGAGGCCCTGCAAGCCTCTGTGGTGGATAGTGATACAATTGATACAAGTGATACAGGTGAGGGCCAATAATCTGCCCTCTACCTCGGAGCCAACCCCCCATCCCCGTGTGCCCAGCCATCTTTTCTACTAATGTAAGTGTTAAAAAACCTAATATTATTGATATTTCTCTTAATTATTAATTGTGTGTGCATACCATCATAAAATTAAGAAGTTATTTTTACTACAACGTAGGTATTGTGTCTGAAAAAGTGGAGTTTGGGGGGTCAGCCCGGTCTCTATTTCAATTACAGTGGGGTATGCTATAACGAACGGATCGTACTACGAATATTCCTATAACGAACGGTTTTACCTATAAAATTGAGAATGCTATAACGAACGAAACTCCTACAACGAACATTATTTAAAAAAAATTTTTTTTTTTTTTTTTTTACTTATTTATTGTTTTTTTATTACAAATATTAATGATATTCTTTATTTCAGGGGTTTAGATGCATATTTATGCACTTTTTTACAATTTTTACAATTTTATATTACATTTTTCAGTGTTAAGTGGTTGTATTTGGGGGCCTGGAACGGATTAATCCTATAACGAACGAATGCTATAACGAACAAGGTTCTAGAACCAATTAGATTCGTTATAGCATACCCCACTGTAATCCCATATGTTATGTTGTTCACTTTACGCGTTTCTCACTTTACGCAGGCCGCCGTGGGTTCAATTGACCGCGTAAAGTGAGGGTTCACTGTATCTCTGCCTTCAGGATCTGTTCATTCTGTTCACCTTTGTTTGACCTTCAGTAACTGTCGAAGGTGTGGATCAGCCAAATGTAGGAAGAGGGTTTAATCCATGACTTTCCAGTCTATAGTTTCATTACTATTTTTAGTTGGACTCACAGGGAGATGTTTGTTGTTGTTTTTTTTATTTTTATTTTTTATTTTTTATTTATTTTTGCTCTTGTAGATCTTTACTATTCACTGGATATACAGTAGTGATGATGTGAACTACACCACTTTCATCACGGAGTTTATAAACTAATGCTAAGACAGCCAGTCACAAGTCATGTCAAACCACAGGATGCTGTATTAGAGGGGTTCAACCTGCAAGTCTTCCTTTTCTTCCTTTTTTTAAGAGTATTGTTTTGGTACAGTAATTTAATACTATTTGTGCAATAACTACCCAAAGTTTTAATTACAGTATAAAATTTATTTTATATTCTAAGTTTTTATCACATTTTTATAAGGTTCCATCTGAGTACAGTATTGGAGAGACAGTTCTGTTTGTTCATAAGTTCTACTCCCACTTCTTCCAGTCCTCATTACGACATGTCTCCCAAAGTTCTTGCTGCTATAGGGTAAGTATGTTCTGTGATCTTCTTGATCTCAAAGCAAGGTCATACTGACTTTGTTCCCATTAAACCTTAAACACATTTATGAAACTATTTATTGGTAATAATGAGCTATTAAATATGTCTTGTATCAGAATTAAAGCTTTAAAGGGTGGTATGGTATGTATGTTTTAACATAACAGGATTATTATTTTATTTATAGTTCAGGTAATGAAAAAAATCTAACTGAAAATTGCTTTGGAATATACAGTATTGATGTCTGTTTTTGCAAGTAAATAATTCCACAAGTCACTCCTCATATCTATCTTCCATTAATATTTGAATCTCACATTACCTGGTACTATATCTTCATTTATGTCACAGGAATTTTACCACCTAAGGTTTTCAAAGGTGTCATTGTTAAGGAAGTCATAGTTAATACAGAACACCCATGTCAAATAAAAGTGCCACGCTGGTTTCTGTGTGGAGCCATTAAATTACACACCATGGTCATTTATCCGGAATAATTGTCACTTATGTCTCTTTTTTTTTAAGAAATTCAGAAACTTTGTTTGGCAATCAATAATGGTATAGAAAAAAGAAGTTGTGTATAGGTTAAGATTTTGACACATTTTGAGTTTGGTATGTATTATTTGGTGTAGTTGAGAAGCTTATAAAGGTGTTCATTATATTTTGTAGTAATATTTGGTTTTTATAATGATTCATTGAAGGAATCTCCATATTCATAGTTTTATGACTGTCAGTCCACTCCATGAATACTGGTCCTGAGTGACTCACATATTTGATCAGAAAATTTTTGATGAGCCTTTTACTGGAATGACCAGTAATTAATCTCTCTTTTTTGTCTTCACAGTATGAGCGTATATCATCTCAAGTCATGTAGTATTATTTGTTTGAATGTTTCAGTTGGTAAATAAGAAGTTCAGTGCTGTATCATAAGAATGCCACTCTGTTTTGAATATGGGCAAGATGTGAACAGTGTTGGCGAGTGAGTGATCGTTATTGTACCGTGACATTACAAGAGGCAGGCCACTGATTCTGAGTTTGGTAAGGGTAAGGATGAGATATTGTATGCCCTTTAGTGAAGTGTTATTAATGTTATTCACACACAGATAGGGATTGTCACTTCATTACTGCAATCAATTTATTTTACAGGTTTGAATTATTAAATTTTTGTACATATAGTCATATGATATGGCATTCTCCATTATTGTATTCTATGAAATATATAGTTTATGTTTATTTATATACAGTAATGTTCAAAAAGTTCTTAACAGGTTCCAAGTTACACCTCTGGTTACTCTTATGAAAAATTAAAGTTTACTGTATGAAAGAACTTCATTCTTGTATTACATCTCATCTTATTTTTAATAGATGATTCTTAATTAATTATGGTCAGTTCAACCTTTGAGAGGTGATTTGTTAATGGTTATTGATATTATGTTCTAAATTGTTTGTGTTTGCATGGTACTGTACTGTGATCAGTCAGGAAATGTACTGCTTGGGTAAGGATGGAGGTAAATTTTGTTCTTTGATGCTAATGGGACTTGTATTTACACTTCATATTACAGTGGTTTGAAGTATTGGCTCTCAGATTTATAGATATAATATATAGAATGCCACAGTCATGAGTGCATTTTATTAATATCCCAACATACCTGTCTATTGCTTTATACTAGATGATAACTGAAAGATGTATTCCTTATTAGCACTGTTATTAATTACAGCACATCAGTATATGCACTCTACAGTATGTTTCAGTGAACAACAAAAATGAAAATATGAAGATTCATGAGGCAAGTGGTAATGTTTCTCTCTATTAGATGTGATTGATAATAATACAGTGGTACCTTGGTTAACAAACTCAATTCGTTCCAGAGGGTCGTTCGTTAACCGAATCCATTGTTTCAATGGGATTTTGGGTAATTGGTTCCAGCTCACCTAAAATTACATACTAAGTAAAAAAAAATGCAATAAAGTACACTTACTTTGAGGTGTGTATGTAGAAGGCTCCTGGTTGATGATGCTGATGTGAATTTGAAGTGGGAGGTGGAGGAGAAGGGAGAAGAGAAGGAAGTGGGTAGTGGAGGAGAAGCATTTAATAAGCTTCTTGAAGGCGAAGTCACCTTCCATAATAATGCGTCAGGAACCTCTGACTGACAGATTCTCCGTTATGAAAATCCTCTCCTTTTTGAAGTGGAAGGCTGAGGGTAGCATCTTTCTCCTGCTGCCTTTAGAGAAGAAACTGTCAATTTCTGGTTGTGGGGCATTTCTCCGATCATTAACTGATTTTTGAAGGAGACCACTGTCTCTACCAGTACACAAAATAGGTTCTGTTGTTTCCACATCAGGGTGCCTTGAAGCCAGTTTCCTGAATATCTCCTTAGAGTAACAAATATCTTTTAAATCGTAGTTAGCTATTAATATATGGTCATCACTTTCCGTTTCCTCCTCACCACTGTCAGCTTTTAACATCTCATCCAGTTGCTTCAAGTCTCCAGGAGTAAGTTCCTCCTCATGAGACATCACAAGCTCTTCCACATTATCCTCCTCCACTTCGAGTCCCATTGAGTGACCAATGGACACAATCTCCTTGTCCAATTCTGTTTCTTCCTCGAATCCCTCAAAATCATGGACTGCTGATGGCAACAGTGCTTTCCATGCAGAATTCAGGGATTGAATGGAGACGTCTTGCCATGATGATACAATCAATTTTACAGCCTCCAGGATGTTGTTTTGCGTCTTCCAGAACTGTACCAGTGTTAGATCAGGATCAGTGGAAGTTGCCTGATGACACCTGAACATTTTCTTCATGTACAGCTTCTTGAAGTTGCTGATTACATTCTGGTCCATTGGCTGCATAATTGATGTACAGTAGTGTTGGTAAACAACACTTTGACAAAGTCAAATCTAGCCTCCAAAGTGGCTGGCAAGTTCAGGGTCATGACCAGGGGTATTATCCAGAAGGAGAAGAGTCTTAAAGGGAGTTTATGGGTGGTTAGGTAGCTTCACAGAAGGGCAAAACACTCCTCAACAGCACATCTCATTAAAGAGCTGTCTTGTCACCCGTGCCTACAGTTGACTTCCACAAATCCTTCCAAGTTGTGCTCTTGCCACCTTTTGTTGCTTGAACACCCTGGGGTTTTCAGAGTGGTAGACAAGCAGAGGCTTCAGTCGGAAATTCCCTTCGAAACATTGGCACTGCTAAATAAAGTGAGACGGTCCGTGGGTTTATGCCCAGGTAAAGAGTGTTTCATCTCTGGTGATGAATGTCCTAGCTTGGGCATTTTCTTCCAGAACAGCCCGGTTTTATCCACATTGAACATTTGCTGGAAGATAATGTTCTTCATCCACCAGTTCCCTTAAACTCCACTCACAAATTTTGCTGCTCCTTCTTTATCTGCACTGGCAGCCTACCCATGCCTCAACAACACTAATAAGTCACTTTTTCTAAATTTTTGAACCAGCCCTTGCTGGCCCTGAACTCTTTAAACTCAGTTTCAGCTGAACTAGTTGATCTTTCCTTCAAATGTTCATAAATGTCCCTGGTTTCACAAATAAATTCAGTAGAAATTGAATCTCCTTTCATTTGTTTTCCTCTTAATCCAGATAAGAAGTAACCTCTCTGTTTCTGCAATTAATGATCTTCCTTTTAAACACCTGGGTAGATTTGTCTCACTTTCACTCTTTTTAAATTTGCCTTTCTGTTAAAAGAATTGTCGACACAGTTGATGCCGAATATGCCATATTCTTTACTTAGTGCATTTATTCTAATGCCTTCATGTTTCTTAATGATTTCTTGTTTAACTTGAATTGAAATTGCCTTTCTAGATTTCTTTGGACCCATGATGGATTCAATACAATAATTTCAACACTAAAATTTTAAGTTGACTGGCTGTAATTAAATATTATTTTATTTAAATCAACAGTGCACTGCACTATATATTATCAATATGTTAAATAAATTTCAGAATGACCACAATTGTACTGTAAAAATTTAAAAGTACTTACTCCTGAAGACTTGAAGCAACTGGATGAGATGCTAGAAACAGACAGTGGTGAGGAGGAACAGGAAAATGATAATCATATGTCTTCTTCAGAATTAAAAGATATTGTTCACCACTGGGAGATGTTCAGGAAACTGGCTTCAAGGCACCCAAATGTGGAAACAACAGAACCTATTTTGTGTACTGTTGAGGACAGAGTGGTCTCCTTCAAGAACCAACTTATGATCAGGAGAAATGCCCCACAACTAAAAATTGACAGTTTCTTCTCTAAAAGGCAGCAGGAGATAGATGCTTCCCCTCAGCCTTCCACTTCAAAAAGGAGAGAGGATTTTCCTGTAGGACAATCTGTCAGTCCAGAGGTTCCTGACATTATTTTGGAAGGTAACTCGCCTTCCAAGAAGCAGTAAAATGCTTCTCCTCCAACCCACTTCCTTCTCTTTCTCTTCTCCTCCTCTGCCCCCAACTTCAAATTCCCATCAGCATCATCAACCAGGAGCCTTCTACATACACACCTCTAAATAAGTGTAATTTACTGCATTTTTTTTTACTTTGTATGTAATTTTCTGTGACCTGGAACCTATTACCCAATATCCCATTGAGACATTGGATTCGGTTAACGAAATTTTCGGTTAACGAACGACCCTCTGGAACGAATTGTGTTTGTTAACCGAGGGACCACTGTACTTTGTCTCCTATTTCTAGAGTTATAGGCTTAACTTTTTTATGTTGCTTGCAGATCATTTCAGCACGTGAGGCTGCTAAATGTTTTCGTACTTTTCCATGGAGGCTTCTGAAAACATTGATTTGCTTCTTGGCATAGTCATTCATGTTGTACACAGGTTGTGGGGTTCCTGTTAGTAGATCATATAGTAAGTATTTATCGGTACCAGAAATTAAGTAGGATGGCAATTTGCCTGTAAAGCTGTTTATAGATCCATTGATGGACGCTGCAACTTGTGGAAGCCAGTCCTCCCACGAACTACCGGGGTTTGCATTGGATTCACCACGTGTCGGAGAACCTCAAGAATTTTTCTGTTTGCACGCCACCAACCCAAATATACCATACAGAAAAATTAGGTCAAATAAGAATGAGCGAAGGTTGATGACCAAAAAACTTGAACATGACATAGGAAGGGAGGGGAGGTGCATCTCAGAGTTAGGTATAAGGAACTATCTAGGAATGTTAAGAAAAATGTACAGAAGGCAAAGAGGGACTATGAAATCAGGATAGCAAGAGAATCCAAGGTGAATCCCAAGGGATTTTTCCAGGTATATAGGACAGAGGTCAAGGACAAAGTGGGGCCTTTAAAATAGAGAGAGAGGTAAAAGATCGATGATAGTGAGGAAATAAGCAAAACATTAAACAGCTACTTCTTATCAGTTTTCACAGAAGAAATTCACGAGGAAATGCCAGAGGTGGAACTGATATATAGAGGAAATGAAGAAGAGAAACTAAAGGATATCACTATCAGAGAAGAGGTTGTTCTTAAGAAGATAAAAATATTAAAGAAGACAAAATCCCCAGGGCCGGATAAAATTTTCCCTCAAGTTTTGAAAGAGTTTAAGGAACAGATTAGCGGACCCCTCAAAAATTTATTTACATAATCATTAGACATGGGTGCCAGACTTGTGGAGACAGGCAAATGTATTACTCGTATTCAAAAGGGAACAGAGCATCAGCGTCAAATTACTGGCAGTTTGATGTCAGTAGTGGGGAAATTTCTTGAATCAATTATAGCAAATAACATCCGATCGCATTCAGAGAAAAACAAATTAATCTACGACTCTCAACATGGATTTACAAAGGGAAAATCTTGTCTAATAAATATGCTGACTTTTGTTAGGAAAGTGTATGAGGTAGTAGATAATGACGAAAATTATAATGTTATTTACTTAGACTTTAGCAAAGCATTTGACAGAGTACTGCATCAGAGGCTTCTGAGAAAAGTTAAGGCTCATGCTTCTGAGAAAAGTTAAGGCTCATGGTATCGAGGGGAAAGTTTTAAATATGATAAAATTATAGCTCACCGATAGAACACAGAGGGTCAGCGTAGATGATTTTAAATTTGAGTGGGGATGTGTAACTAGTGGGGCTCCCCAGGGGTCAGTACTGGGCCCACTCTTGCCTCATAATCTACATAAACGATCTAGATACTGGGATCAGCAGTGACATAAGCAAGTTTGCGGATGACACCAAACTAGGGCGGCAGATTAATTCAGGGCAGGATGCAAATGCACTACAGAAAGATTTAAATAAACTGCAGGACTGGTCAGAAAAATTCAACACCAGCAAGTGCAGTGTACTTAATATTGGAAGAACAAATATGTCAATGTATACCTGTACAGCCTTAACAACATCAACCTAGAGAAGTCGACTTGTGAAAGAAACTTCGGGGTACTCGTAAGCCCAGACCTTCGGCCATGAAAAAACAGTATCAGGTTTTATATCTAGAAGTGTAAGTAATAAGAGTGCGGAGGTCATATTGCAATTATATCTTGTGCTAGTCAGACCACAGGTAGTAGGCAGCTACTAAACAGGGAGGTACTACTGCCTGGGAAGATATTGGAAGCATAATGTGTTGTCTAATGGTGGACCCTGCTGCTATATGGTATCACAAAAATTGTGACCAAGTCCCAGGTTGCTGATCTGACTTTCTGCCTCATTTATACACAATTGCAGGGTCTCAATTGTTTCTCTTACTTTGACAACACAACATACATAATGTATATCATTTCTCATTCTTGATTTATTTTTTCGTTTTTGTATTTATTTATGGTTATTATTATTATTTTTAGTATTATTAATTTTTATGAATTTTTATAATAATAATAGTTATTTTTATTATTATTAATTTTATATTTTATAATAATAATAATAGTTATTTTTATTATTATTATTACAGGTATTATTATTATTATTATTATTATTATTATTATTATTATTATTATTATTATTATTATTATTACAGGTATTATTATTAAAATATTTTTGCCCCCAGGCCCCCCTGCAAAAAAGCATTTTTCTGTGGTATGTCCCTTACATTTGCAGACTTTGCAAAAAGGTATCTTTTTGGGTTTGGTTCCGGTGACGGTTTGTGGTTGTTCCTTAGAGCTGGTGACTGGTGCCTCTGACAGAGCCCTAGGAGTACGTTCCGCCAGTTCAGCAATTTTCTCCACATAGTCTACAAGATTAGTCCCTACTTTAAATTCTTTCTTTCGGCTTTTGTGCGTAAGGGTTCATTTGCTGACAAGATAAACTGAAGGAACTCAATAATCCTGCAGAAATTTTCTTAAGACAAGTCACTGTTATCGAACCAATCTGAGGATTCCATATAAGTTTTGAGATCTATCTTAGTGTGTCGGTCAAAAATCCGGGTGTCTTCCTCGTCATTTGCGAACAGAGTGTCACATGTACCCTCTGTCTGGAAAATCCAAGTATGTGTTTAACCTCCTTTGGTACCTGACCCAAAAAAGGAGATGAATTGTTTCCTAAACGTTGGATAATCATCAGTTTCTTCATTGATGGCTGAAGCATAGATAGCTCTACGCGCGACTACCGGTTTTGATGAGGCTTCGGATGTATGAGATTTTATCTACGTCGTTAGTGACATTATTATTTCTCATTACATCTTCGCACTTATGCAAAATGTGCTAATGTAGTATAATCTGGATCCTCTGCAGTAAATTATTATATCTTAATGTTATTTGGAAGTATCTTTACAGTTTTACAGACGATGAAGTCGGTGAGTTAGTAGAACCACCTGATGTCATTTTTGTTGTGTTAGTTAAAGCACTAGCATTATTAACAGGTAAAGGTATTGGGTAAATGTCACCTGACCTTAATTGTCTACTGTGTAAATCCTCAAACTGAGAATCTATGAAATTTTCACAGTTAGCTAAAGAGTCAGTAGGTGTTAACTATTTGGCTAATTTGTGGTAATTCTTCCTCACTATCAGTTGCCACTAGTTCCTGTGAATTTTTAGATGACTGACTATCAGTCTGAATCACTAATTTAATATCATAGTCTGAGTCACTAATTTCCTGTTTGATACCCAAAAATTTTGGAAGAGAGTCCATATGTAGGAATATTTATCACTTCACTCACTGTATGAAACTCACTGCATTGCCCACTCTTGGAGTAATGTAAAAATATTTATAACGAGTTATGAAAATTAAGAGTAAAGATATTAGAAAGTACAGTACTAAAAATATGTCAAAGTATAGATTATATATGTCTACCTTTTGTAAGAAGAGGACCTACTTTCTAAATGTGTTTATTTAATTTGGCCTTTGTGCATTTGTGCAAGTAATTTATATTTTATATTGACTACATGTGAAGACTTCTGGAAGTTCACTTGTATTTGTGTAGTTTATAAAATAATGATTGTCTTACTCTGGGAGGGATGACGTCATGTCTTGCGGCGATCGGCCTGGGGTCGGACCTGGGGCTGTCCTCTGTCTTGCTGCAATCAGCCTAGGGACTGACTTAGGGGCTCACTTCTGTTGTGCACCGATGAGGATTGCTTGTTTAAGCAAG